CCTCCATAAGAGATATCTTTTATAAGTACATCTCAAATTGAATTATATTAACACCATAAGTTGAACGACGCGCCAGGCAGTGGAGTGGTGTGCAAATGCGACAATTCATTGGCAGTGGTGTCCAGTTCATCGGATCATATGCCCTTTGGAAGGGATAAAAATGTTCAACGTGCCGAATATACCTCGATGACCAATAAAGCCCGCGACCACTGTTACAACCCGGAAGATAAGGTTCGCATGAATCTAATCGGTCGTTTGGGAAACAGATATTTTTTCGACTCTCTTTAGCGAGCTGCCAGTGGTTCATCGGCCCAGTTTTAGCTCCAGATGTCATCCTCTCATTTTAGTGGTGAAACATCTCCGCTGCATGAAGATAGTGAGCAGAACTTCCTCAGCAGAAGCCATTCGAGGTGATTAGCCTCTTATGGGAGCATTTCGCTAGATGCAGAAGAAGAGTGATCACTGACACAAATCAGGACACCCACACCCGACACTCCATGTAGTAGTAGAGTGGTACACTCATGATGAGAACTTATTGAAGAATGCGACTCCTTGAAGGTGCGATATAGCAGAAGATTGACTTTATGAGATTTAAAACAAATGGGAACAGTGATCACAGATAAAAGCGATTGGTGTTACTGTAATTTTTCGCTGCCGATATGTATAGGATTTATTTCATATTTCCGTTGGAGGAAATATCGCATTAGCTTTTAGTATCACTTGACCGTATTGCAACATCCGATTGTGGTGACCATTATAGTGAGAGTCACTGTTGTCAGAACGAAATACATTCATGAAAATGAAACGCAAATCATGATCTTCCTCAAAATTTTCTTTCATCAGGTCACCGTGGTCGACCAAACAACAGTTCATTAAAATCCGGAAATCAGTTTTTAGCTGTCCACGGAGTAGAGCAAACAGAAGCAGAGCGGTATACGCAGGGAATGCAAAATAATTACTCATGAAAATGAAAAGTATAACCCCTGGCCGAGAACTATGGGAGTTTGATGCTAAGCAATCAGCCAACCGGCTGATCGACGAACCGTCTTTAACTTCCAAACTGCAGTCGACCTCCCATCGCTGCACAGTAGCTTCGTTATCTCTTTTCTATCGTTACTATTTTGATTTCTGCTCCTCCAAACTCGCTTCAGCGATTCCCCTTCCATCGACCTTCTCTCGTCCATCTCGTTCTCAGGCGGGCAGTCACCCTTATCGAGTTTCTGACCCCAGATGTTGGATTTCTATCTTTTTTTTCCAAGGACTGCGACATTGTGGAACACTCTTCCCATTTCCGTGTTTCCCAGCTCTTATAACCTTACACTTTTCAAAAGCATGATTAACCAATTGGTTCTTACTTGAAT